ATGAATATTACAGCACAGTTTTCATTTACTTTTACAATAAAAACATAACTCTTTTTTTCCATTATATCAAAAAATAAATAACGATGAATGTTTATATAGGACTTTTATAAAAGTTTCTGAATTGTCCAAATATCGATAAAATGAACACTTGTTTAATTTACTAATATGAACACGAATTTGTGGGCACCATTCATAGCAACGATGGTTCGGTCATTCGCTATACAAAGTGCTCACCAACAGAATGGTATCTTTCAAGTTCATCAGCATAGCAAGCACTCTGTAATACAGAACTGATTTTAGGTAGCCTCATAGCCAAAATCAAAGCAGACCATTCGACAGCCTGTAGCCATGTTGAATATTGGATATCTTTGTTCAGCTGCCAGTCACATCATCCCAAGAAAACACAGGCCATTTTTGACATGAATGGTGGCCACAGTGAGTAGATGTAGCCTCCTCTGGTGAACAGTTTCGGTAAACATGAACTCTTATTCTCATAATCCTGTTGATGTATCTATTAATAACTTTGGCTCTACGACGAATAGTACTAATTTCATTGATGTACAAACACGCCAAAAAGAACTACTAATATGTGTGTATGAGCAAAAATAGGTAAAAAAAAAAAAAGATATTCGTTAGAGAATAGGTAAGTGTGCCACACACTTTATATGCATTATTCTTCAAATATTTTATTATCTTCCTTATATATATATTTTAATACGACTTATTTTGGATACGGTTTAATTAATCACAAACTGTGGGTCTACAACGTATTCTACCTGTTACATTTTACCTTTCATTGTAAGAAAGTTTGAGTATAATAAGGTTTAACTTATATATGTATATATATGTGTTAATAAACAGATAAGGTTAAGAAACAATCTAAAATAGACCTATTGGAAACTGAAATCATTTACTGTTATAGAAGTGTCTTGACAAGGATTTAAGTGTATTGTTTTATAAATAAAGATGCGAAAAAGATTGTGGATTTTAAGATTAGAATCTAAAGCAAGAATACAAGTGAATCAACGAAAATGAAAGAAGAAAGAAAAGTCGTATATAAGTCCAAATATCCTTTTTAAAATCTTTACTTAATTTAGAACATTTTATGTTATACAATATCAATTCTATCTCAAGTATACTTTCAATCTGCCAATAAAATTAAACAAATTTCTGCTCTACAGACATCTTTATATCTTACTTAGCGAATGCTCCTGGACCGTAATGAGTGTTATAAGATGGCAACGTATGAGCAACGAATGTGTCACATGAAATGCAAAACCGTGCATTCGGTGAAAGAACAACAACAAAAACATTTCAACATTATTTGAATGAAATTTAAATTATTGGACAAAGTTTCATAAGCTTTCAATGAGTGTTAACAAAACATATGTCGGTTTAGGACCTCAAAGAGGCAAAGGTATTTATACTGAAAACTGATCATAATATTGCATTGAATAACAATGAAATGTTAGAAATAATTGTGTTGAACAATTGTCTGAAGAAAATGGAGCGTCAGTAAACTCGAAACAGAAGACGTACTGGAGAGAATTTAAATAGAGACTAATAGTGATGTGTTCGAGAAACAATATTTCGGATATATAAACGGAGGAGATGCATGGTTTAACGTGTTCTGAGGATAATATTTCGGGAGTATAAACAGATGAGTTATCTGAGCATAATGTATTCGAGGAACAACTTTTTGGAGATTTAAAAAGGAGTTGCCTAGTCTTAATTTCCAAGAAATAATAAATCATCCAAAGGTTTGTTTTCCACTAAAGCTTCCTCAAACAGTCAGCTCACTACTGCGTGAAACTAACAAAAACTAACACAAGAAACAGAAAGACGAGTTGTTTGATAAAGAAATAAATTCGTGTAGATGATTTTAAGTGGAAATTTACAACATGAAAACAAATTCAAAAGAAAATTATACAACGGTGGTCTTTAAAGAGCGTGGTATATTTGTTACCTTGAAGAAGCGGTGTATATTTGTTACCTTGAAGAAGCGGGGTATGTTTGTTACCTTGAAGAAGCGTAGTATGTTTGTTACCTTGAAGAAGCGTGGTATGTTTGTTACCTTGAAGAAGCGTGGTATGTTTGTTACCTTGAAGAAGT